AAGTTCTGGTATCAGATAGCGAAAGACATGCTCAGCGTTTTCACTGCCAGCTGTGGCTCATAACGTACAAGCGTGACAGAATCATCACTTACCACGTGCGGCTTGGACTCTTTATGCTCTGCTATTCTGCATGCTTTTTCTCTATCGACCCTCGATATTTCCGGGGAATCACCTTCCTGACCACTCTAGCAAAACCTCTACTAAGCGCCCATAATCACACCAATCTACTTACACTATACATAGAATACAACACACATCACTATACATAGAATACAACACACATCAGAGCTCCCACTAATTCGCATCGACAGAAGCATGTTCACTGGCCGGCTAATTAGCATCGACAGGGAATACCAGAGAATACATAGAAGAGGCTTGGCCTACCAGACCACAATCGGTGGCCGTGCAAGCAAAAAAGAAAGAAACCTCCCCACTGGCGGTTCTGAAATGCATTGCGCGCAGTAAGGCAAATCCAGCTCTGGGTTAACTGGTGGTTTAAGCCGGCCATAGCAATGCAAATACTGGTCTTTGTCTCTGTCTGCATCTCTCAAGAAATTGCTACGAGATAGAAACCTGAAATGCCTGTAATTGGGGGAAAAGAAAAGAAAAGGAAAAAAGCCTCTACTTGACAGATACGAACGTTCCAGGTGTCAGTTTGTGGCGGCCTTGCAAAGTACTTATACTGGGACATCATCAACGGTAGCTGCTACCATTTCTCATGGCCCTGCTGCGCCATTTCTCATTTCTCATGGATATGCCAGACATTCCTGCTTATGGGATCGCCTACCCGTTGTGTCACTTTTACACTACATTATCAACTGTAGTTGCTACCATTTCTCATGGCCCTGCTGCGCCGGTATAGGAAACTTGCTTTCTGATCCGATGCACGGGTAGGGGCGATGTGGATTGACGCTGATGCATAGGCAGTAGTCATCCTGCTTCACAACCCATCTATCAAATCTCAACAACCCAGCATKCAGTGTGTGGCAGGAGTTACACAGAGGAGCGTGGGCTTGTGATGCATAGTTCATTCGATAAAAATGACGAGTTTTCATCCCCGACACAACTGTTGGGTGTTCCAGTAGACAGGTCAATGGATGTGGATTCTGCCCACCCATTGGTTTGTAAACTGAAAGATTCCTATCTGCTTCCATTGACTCTCACAATGCACACGAACACAGTGAGAAACACCTCAAGAAGCAATCCTTCAAATTGACCCAAACACGCCAAAACGTTAAACGACTAATCCGTGCTTGCAGCTACATTACACAAAGAGTCAAAAGAGCCATTTTCGTCTCTGAACATATCGGGATTATCAACTGCCATACCCAATAACACTCGTCGCTCAGAGCTCCAGCTAATTAGCAGCGACAGAAGCATGTTCACTTCATAAGTCAAACACCAAGGACAACCAGAAACATACTCGCTGTGCCATGAAGGTCCAATCCTGCATGTCGCATCAGCGCATAAGAGGCAGAGGTGATCCAAAGAGCCTTCGCAGAATTCTTATCCAGAAACACACCCCATAACCGTAGAGAAACATCGCGACCGCTGCCACTCAGCACAGGCCTCGGAGGCACCGCTAATTATTACATGGAAATTCATCGTGGACTACGTTCATTAGATTTACATCTGACATTCTCCCTCTGGTTAGACATACATGTTACCTCCTGAYATATACCAACGCCTAACCACTCATTGGCGAAGGCCATACCATTCGAACAATATCCATATCGATGTCGGAGGAAAAAWGTAGTGCAAGTGGCTGAAATGACAAACCGGCGCGTCGCACCCTCACAACCCACTTTCGGCAACAACACGAGAGATCGGTCCGAATAAAAACGGATCCATCGGATTCCACCCCAGATACCAAATTGCCACACATGAATGACTTCTCCATACACGGACCTCTTCGCATGACTGACGGTTTCGGAAAGAACCGTGTTCACCAAACCAGTCTGCCAGCACGCTAGTACGCAGGGAAAACTCCATTGACCTACACAAACAAACCCTGCGATACATGTCCCCCCGATCCCCRGCAGCCGGAGTCTCCAATCCCACAGTCCAATCCGCAAAGCCCCTATGCTCCCGCCTTCAAATCCCAGCAGCGTGACTAAGAGACTCGCTCAGCCACTCGCCGCATGCACAAAAGGCACAGATTTATACTCGTTTCCTACCGCAGGGAGAAAGGAACAGCAGCACCCCTCACACCTGCATGCAGAATCCAACCATTGTAATGAATGTTGCGAGGACAATGACGCATGCTATATCTACGACACAACTTTCAATTTCCTACTCCCAAAGGACTCGTTGAGGAACGGCAGGACTGCGATCAGATTCACTGGCTTTGGTAACAAAGGCAATGTTGAATCAACGTCGGTCATTTGGGGAAAGAACAGAATCATCATCTCCCAAMATATTTGCCACACTACATATCCCTAAACCAAATTACTTGGGACCATTCAACCCACGTGTCGTACAACTACGAAACAACTGCCGCAATGACTGCTGCAATATGGGTCTTTGTCCCCTTACGATTTGGGTCTTTCACCCCTTCCGACCCCAGTTATCATCCGCTGGGCAACCCACATGTCTKTGTCCTAACTCTAAATACACTTAAGGAATAAACGTGCACACATTTCACATTCCGAAAATGTACCCCTCACACCTGTTTTCACCTGCACAGAACGCCCAGTCATTGTATCGCCATTTGGCACAACTTTCGGTCCAGATGCAGAAACAATGACCGGCCGTTCTATTCAGGTGAAGACGATAGCCCAACTGAAGGGCAGGCAACAGGTCTCAGAGAGTGTGACACTTTGCACGTCCTAGACAATGTGCGGCGAAAGCCAGAGGATCTCTCTGCCTCACACGCAAAGTTAAAAGGTAGTCAACACCACAGATTGAGAATACGAGTGCAGAGACTTTTCCTCCCCGAATCTTACTGCATTGTGCCGGCAGACAGAGGGCGGTGTCACATGTGCTCGGAACGTGCAACGACAATGCCTCAGAATGTGTAACAACAATTTCAGTATCCCCAGTCCGGAGACTTGAGTGAAATCCGCTATTGACCATCACAGGCCGTATCACCTGAGAACTTGAACACACCTCAATTCTGCAACGCTCGCAATGATGCCATTTGGGTGTCAAATATTTATTGGAAAAAACACAGGGATTATTGGATACAATATAACGTTAATAAAGAATAGAAAGTCGACGGACGTACCTGCATCGCTATCCGCGCATTGTTCAAAGCCCAGTCTTCTCGTAAAACTGCACAGACAGCTCAACATACCACGCATGCTACCTGGAACCTTAGTAGTATTGCTCCCAATCACCACCTACTAATCGTGCTGCCGGAAATACTAAAAACTGCAAACATGGCTACACATATGTACCACAAATGAGCACATCCATATTGAGGAGAACTCAATGAATGCCATTTTGCGATGCTACACTATACCAAACGTGCTACCGATAGTGTTTTAAGTTTATACATCACGGATTGCTTTCAATGTTAGGTTTCCCATCAGCAGATTGCTCTGGCTCGTCCGCTAGTCCTTGCAACCCATCAATATGACTACCTATATGAGGTCCATGGCAAAAATCACAATTCACTTCATCACAAAAAGGCAAACTGGGAAGGCATCCACACACAGCCCACTGGCTTTGCCGCCAAAACCTGATCGTCTTCCCCACGACAATAATTCTCGACTCAGTGGAAGAAGAAGTCGTTTTGATGTGTACGGCTCATTGGAGACCGAAGTCCCCAGGTAGCCCACTGGCTAGAAAGCCAACTTCATCATCATCGATCTGACTGATAAGACAACCCCCCAAATCATAATACGCACACTCACGGATTGAAAAGATCATGCTCCGCCTCCCGAAAAAGAATACTACAATTCAAAAACGGCCACTGCGTTTCAAAGAGCACATTTGGTGCCTCACAATGACTTCTTATCAGTGCATACACTCTTCCGCTTTGGATGTCAGTGACAACATGAGCAGGCGCTCCTGTTAGACGACAGTACGAAAAGACCTCACATTGTACGAGGAAGCATGTTACCTTCATAAGTCAAACATCGAGGACAACCTGAAACATACTCGCTGTGCCATGAAGGTCCAATCCTCTATGTCGCATCAGCGCATAAGAGGCAGAGGTGATCAAAGAGCCTCCATCCCCTTTAAGTACTGATGCATGATTTTACAGCTTCAGTGCAATGGAAACGGACTGCTGAAGATGCAAAAGCACAAGCCCCACCTTTCAGTTCATCTCTAGCAATCAATTCATACGATGAGCACACAGACTCCTACGCATCAATCGACTACCGAGAGTTCCTGCGACGTGTCACACAGAATGGTAAGCATCAAACATCTACCGCAGATTCCTGCCGAGAACAAACTCTGATCGTTCATAAGCACCACCATAAAAAGATGTACGTGCCTCTTCTTGTTCACAACTTGCTCACTACCGTCTTCCCCCGAACACAACGCACCCTCATTTGGGCTGTATCTGGCCGGAAGTATAGCTTGTATACATTCATTTTTAGGGTGCGTTATGTTCGGGGGAAGACGGTAGAAGCACAAGCGACAACGTAAATCAGCCACCTCTTCCCTACTGATTTCCGGAGTCTAAAACCGCCACACCACTCGCAACAAAAATGAGATGGAATACTCCGCTTGACCACTGAAACCCACTTCTTCCCTACTGATTTCCGGAGTCTAAAACCGCCACACCAATCGCAACAAAAATGAGATGGAATACTCCGCTTGACCACTGAAAACTTTAGTGAATGTTGTGGTCATGCCTTCGGCCGCAATATGCAGCGTAATTTTGTGGATGGATTTTTTCTGGAAGGTTGTCCACATTCGAATCCACTCACTGGATAACCGCCACATCACAATCAACAAAGAGGTCTTTGGCTTTCAATATTATCTCGATCACCTTACGGAAAAGAGTACTCGAACAATCGACTTAATAGATGCCATAGTTGCGGTTAGTACTAAACCCACAGATTGAAGTTCACATGCGTGCACCATTTTGAATGAGCGACGCAACCAATTCTTCCCAATTAATATTCCGCAGTCTAAAACCAGCAGGACGTAGTAGGTAAAGAGCAAGGGCTTCGCTCCGCAATATGCAGCATAATTTTGTGGGACGTTATCCATAATCACCACGTCACAACGAACAAAGAGGGCTTTGGCTATCACCTATCGGGAAAGAGGTACTCGTACGTCGGACTTAATAGATACCACAACCTGCGGATAGTCCTAAACCCACAGATGTCAGAGTTCACATGCATGCACTTCGGCGGATACGCACGATGAACCATTTCGTAGAGAATGTCACTCAGGAAACCATTCAAAAAGAGCTTCCCGCAAAACAAGCACTCTATACGGTTTTATCGCACCAGGCTCATACACCCAGACATAGACAAGCTGTCTGGATGCAATTTCGTATTGGCGCCATACGCTATTAGAATGAAACATCGAGCGTTTACAGTGACACCACCGGGTACTACTATTTAACGTGCTATTTACGGTACTATTCCAGTTACTGTTTACACAGAAGAATTCCACAGTGCATGTTAAATGTTTGAATTCGAGTGAATAATCAAACCAGTGATGAGATCACTCCGCGTCATAATTAACTACACCATGAAATMACACCACGCTYTTCCCGACTATGCCTGGGAGGCAATCGMCTTCAAACCCAATTTCTCTGTCAACCAAACCTAAGATGTGATCAACAGAGTGAGGGCACACATCAATCCTGTTCAGCTGCACTCAGATGGAAGTACCCCTATACAGCGAGACGGATGAGACCACGCCACAACAAGTTCAGATCTCGTACAGCATTGCTAGCTGGCAGCGCAGAGGCGACCTCGTAGTTGCATCACTAGGCATTTCTCCTCAGTTCAGATCTCCTAGGCCAATGGTTCCTCAGGCCAAGCATGGACACATGGCAGGACAAGGCTGAACAGATGTCATCACAGGAGATAACAATGCCAGTAAGAAGCTCGAGCTTTAAAACCGTACGGTACTACAAACAAACGATTGAAATTCTYTGAAAAACCAACTTTCCATACTATCTGCGAGCAGACATGTGCAGAACCCGAAGGATAAACAGAGCTCAGCACCACTGGGCTCTTCAGGGTAATCCCAAATGTCTGCGCTACCTATGCCCTTTGCCACAAGCGAAACATAGACAATTGCACAAGGCAGCCCTTTCCAATGCACGTCAGATTGCTTGCATTCGTCTACCTATGCCCTTTGCCACAGGCGAAACATAGACAATTGCACAAGGCAGCCCTTTCCAAATGCACGTCAGATTGCTGGCATTCGTCAACCTATGCC